CTCCACTAAGTCAGAAGAGTTTTTCATAGCCTGGAAAGATAGTTTAATAACATATAAGAAAGCCCTTCATAGTGCCAGAACCGCATTTTATTCATCACTGATTGAGGAAAATAAGAACAACCCCAGGTTTCTTTTCAGCACTGTAGCCAGGCTGACAAAGAGCCACAGTGCTGTTGAGCTTAACATTCCCTTAGATCTCAGCAGCAATGACTTCATGAGCTTCTTTACAAATAAAATTACAGCTATTAGAGAAAAAATTGGTCGACCATTCCCACAGCTCTCGCAGATGTGCCATCTACTACAATGGCTTTAGAAACATCTGTAAAACCTCATTTCTAATTGGACTATTTCTCTCCCATAGATCTCTCTGAGTTGACCTCAACAATTGCTTCATCTAAATCATCAACATGTCTCCTGGACCCCGTTATGACCAGGCTGCTCAAAGACGCCTTTCCCCTAATAAACACATCCATACTAGATCTGATCAACCTTTCTCTATTAACAGGTTATGTTCCACAGGCTTTTAAAGTTGCAGTAATTAAATTTCTACTCAAAAAGCCTACTCTTGACCCAGGTGTCCTAGCTAATTATAGACCGATATCCAATCTCCTGTTTATTTCTAAAATTCTGGAAAAAGCTGTTGCTAAGCAGTTATATGACCACTTGCACAAGAATGTGTTATGGTTTAGTCCCACTCACTAGGAGGGGGAGGGAGAACTGAGGTTGAACTCAAGACCGCTGACCCAGGTGCTAGTAAAAATGGTGGTTTAATGGTGGGGATACAAAAGGAATAGTCAATGAATACATACAACAGGGCTGAGCAAAGACAGCTGAGGAGAACAGGACGATCAAGGGAGTAGACAGGCTAACGGCATCTAAAATAGACCTAATACCTGTTATTAAACCAACTTAGGGGTGGCAAAACCCAACAAAAAAGTAACCCCCTACCTTAAACCACCCATTGTCAACACCCGGACCTTAAACTTAAGCATAGTGGAATTAATGCCCAATCCTAACCCTCACACTACAAACCCCCTTAAACCCAACCCATATCCCTAACCTGAACCTACCCAGTCCACATTCCTGGCCCTAAACATAACCTAAAAGCACGCATTCACGTTACCCGGGCCCTAAACTTAACCATCGAACATAATGCCTAATCTTAACCCTCACGCCACAACCCCTCTTAAACCCAACCCATATCCCTACCCTGACCCTAACCACTCCACACCTCTGGCCCTTGTGGGATATTAAATTGTGCAACTCAAGTACTAACACTGTTTTTTATGCACATGTAAGGAATATGTATTGTAGCTAAGACACTAGTATCTTTTATGCACTTATAAGGAGTGCAACTTTCACTCAGATTAAAGCATGAGCACTGTTTTATATTACTGTACTAATAGGAATGTAGCCTTCAACTCAGTTGTAATGTGTGTATGTGATCACTCTAATATTGAAATGTATTTTTGGGGGGTCGTGCCTAGCACAGCTCCATTTTAAGGGAGTCACTGAAGGAAAAGTAAATGATTGAACACAGTGGGACATAAAGATGTCTGGAACACTCCACTGTTTTATCAATGAACTTATAAGGATAAGTTCTAATTTTCCCAACATTACAGAATGTTCACTATATCATTATGTGTGTGTGCTTCTTAATTATAGAATGTACTACTTTGGAATTAGGGAGTTGTGCTTGGGGGAAATATCTTTGTAAAAGTATTGATAATTACCAGCTGCATCCTACAAGAATATCTTTGGGAAAGTGCTGGTACTTTCTAGCTGCATGTTACAGGAAATATGTTAGGAGGCAGGAAGAAAAAGTATATAACACACAAATTTAGTGATGTGATTTCAGATCATCTGCTGTTGCTGCTTGCTGTATGATCCCGGATGCGCATCCGTAAATAAAGGTAATATGTGCACATTAATGGTTGGTGTGTGACTGAATATTCTTTCCATCATCTGGACCCGAGGAGAAGTGTGAGACTTCGACACCCTAAACATAACCCCAAACCGCCCATTCACATTACCCTAGCCCAAAACGTAACCATCTGGGACATAATACCCAATCCTAACTCCCACATTTAAGCCCAATCTATACCCCCACCCTGACCCTAACCATTCCACACTTCTGGCCCTAAACATAACCTTAAGCCACCTGTTTGGATTTACCCTGGCCCTAACCTTAACCATCTATAAACTGATGCCCAATCTCAACCCTCACACCCCAACCCCACCTAAGCCCAACCCATATCCCTACCCTGACCCTAACCATTCCACATCTCTGACCCATCCGCGATACCATGGCCCTAACCTTAACTGCTTGGGACCCAATGTCTAAACCAGAACCTCTGGCCACCTGACTCAAATCTTTACCAACCCAAACCTAACAAGGTCAAACCTTAATCGAGGACCCAGATCCCATAATTCCAGCACCCCACACACACACACACACACACACACACACACACACACAGAACCGATTCGAATGGGAACATACAACTCCCCATGGGAACCTGACATCCTAAAATGGAAACAATAGCTAACCCAGCACCCAAAAACTAAACAAAGCAAATCACACCGGTCGGGAAAACACACAGTTACATGAGCCAGAGTGACAAGCGTCAGCCCATGCACTCAACTTTGACCCTCCATCCCAAATTGTATAGTCAACGGACGATTATGGGGAGAGTTGAAGAATTCCCCTAACCTAACCCTCTACCTTAACTTATCCAATTTTTGATTAACATTTTAACAGATGTGACGGAAGTTTGCCACTTCCTCATCGGGTTCCAGATGATGGAAAGAATATTCAGTCACAAATACCAAAGTGCACTTAATTATAATTACCTTTATTCACAGATGCGCAT